CCTTATTAGGTGTCTCCTTTTTCTTGTGTGTCTCCTTATTATGTGTCTCCTTGTCTCCTTTGTTATGTGTCTCCTTGTCTCTTTGTTCTTATGTGTCTCCTTGTCTCCTTTCTTATGTGTCTCCTTATTAGGTGTCTCCTTATTATGTGTCTCCTTGTCTCCTTGGTTATGTGTCTCCTTATTATTTACCTGCTTGTGTGTATAATTTACAAACAAATAGATGATGATTAATATAAATAAAACTAAGAGACTCTATACGTCGTAACCTGCACAAAGGAGACACCCACAGCACCTCCTGCTGCTGCTGCTGCTGCTGCTGCTGCTGCTGCTGTTGCTGCTGTTGATGCTGCTGTTGATGCTGCTGCTGCTGCTGTAAGGAGACAGTTAATATCCGTACCTTGATGCTAATGCCCTCCTATGTAAGACACGCAATGGTGTCCTTTGATGGATTTGCATGCCTCCTTGCTGCTGCAGTTGCTGCTGCAGTTGCTGCAGTTGCTGCTGCTGCAGCGGCTTGTAGCTAAACACTAAGGCCTCATAACATTTTACCTTCTCCTCTGCCCCTAGCTGCAGCGCTAGCCGCAGCAACTTGCTGTTGCAATGAAATTGTAGCTGCTGCGCGGACACAGCAACAGAATCTGCAGCAGCAGCAGCAGCAGCAGCAGCTGCTGCTGCTGCTGAATTGCTGCTGCTGTTGTTGCTGCGAAGGGACTTTCCCAATGGGGTACGTGATGCGGCACACAGATTCAAAAGCGTGCTGCTGCTGTTGCTGCTGCTGCTGCTGCTGTTGCTGCTGCTATCTGTAGGGTCTGCCCCATTGATACCCTGCTTCTGCTGCTGCTGCTGCTGCTGCTGATGTGTCTTCTGATTAAGCAGCACTGCAGCAACACGTGTTGCTGCTCTATTGGAGTCTCTGCAGCAAAAAGGAAGGAGACGATTGTTGCTGCCCTCCTGCTGCTGCATGCACTGCAGCAGCAGCCCATCGATGTCCTCAACACTCCCTGCTGCTGCTGCTGCAGCTGATGTAGTAGCAGCACAAGAAGCAGCAGCAGCAGCAGGAGCACCTGTTGCTGCTGCTGCTCCCCCTGTTGCTGCTGTCTCCTTGCGGCAGCGCTTGGGGCAGGGTAAAGGATCCTGCATCTGCCCTTCAGCATCTGCAGCACCACAAGAGATACAGCAGCAGCAGCAACCACATCTGCTGTTGCTGCTGCTGCTGTTGCTGCTGCTGCTGTTGCTGCTGCTGCTGCTGTTGCTGCTGCTGCAGCAGCAGTCCCTAGAAAGAGAGGCAATAAATTCCTCGGGGGTTTTCTCGCATTTCTCCAACAGCAAAGCAAAAGGACGGCCTTCCCCTAACATACGCACGTCTGCGTCTTCTCTGCAGCAGCAGCAGCAGCAGCAGCAACAGCAGCAGCAGCAGCAACAGCAGCAGTAGTCGTTATTGTTTTGTGTTGTACAAGTAGCAAGGATAGTACTAGGAGCAGTAGCAGCACCTGCTGCTACCCCCTTGATAACAACCACAAACAGTAGCAACAGCAGCAGCAGCAGCAGCAGCAGCAGCAGAAGCAGCAGCAGCAGCAGCAGGAATATTTTCCTCACCTGCCTGCAGCCATGAATTTAAAAGTCTTTGCTTTAAATATTTGCTGCAGCGGAAGCCCCAAAGCTTCTTCTACCGACATATCCAACTGCATGCATGCAGCATAAACCCTAAACCCTAAACCCTAAACCCTAAACCCTAAACCCCAGGCAACGCAGGTTTGGGGTGTCTTACAAGGGTGTTGTAGGGTTTAGAGCGAGGGTTTAGATAGTGGATATAGATCTAAGGTTTAGGGTTTATATATGGGGGTTCCAGCTAGGGTTTATCGGCTAGGGTTTAGGGTTTAGGGTTTTAGGGTTTAGGAGGGTTTAGGGTTTACGATTTACCTTCCTCTGTCCACCAATAATCCACTCGGCCTGACTAAGAAGACGAGTAAACTTCGAGTAGCGACCTGCAAGGACACCCAAACCCTAAACCCTAAACCCTAAACCCTAAACCCTAAACACTAAACCCTAAACCCTAAACCCTAAACCCTAAACACTAAACCCTAAACCCTAATGGGGGACTCACCAGTAACAACGAGAGACTTCAAAGAGAAGGAGAGATCTCTTAGCTGCCCGCAGCAACTAGTACTCCCATTGGTTACAGCAGCAGCAGCAGCATTTGCTGCTGCTGCTGCTGCTGCTTCTGCTGCAACACTGCATTCTGCTGCACAAGTTGCTGCAGCAGCTGCTGCAGCAGCAGCAACTGTGGGGCTGCTGCAGTTGCTGCCATGGTTGTTGCATGCAACGACAGCACTAAGGGAGCATGCCTCCGGTGCTGCCCAATCAGGCCAATCTGTTGTTGTTGCTGCTGCTACTTGCTGCTGCTGCTGCTGCTGCTGTTGCTGTTGCTGTTGCTGCTGCTGCTGCACAGCAGCTAGACGGGAGAGGCCGCACCGCAGCAGAGCTAAGAGGAGCTGAACCTTCACAAATTGCTGCAGCGGCACTTCTTCGGCTGCTGCTGCTCCTGCTACTCCTGCTGCTGCTGCTGCTGCTGTTGCTGGTGCAGGAGCTGCAGCAGCAGCAGGAGGAGTAGCAGGAGCAGCAGCAGCAAGACAACCAGGCAGCTGTACAGTAATAAGCTGATGGAAGAAAGGACGGCTAAGGGCAGTCCATGCATAAGATGGATCCATTGATAAACCCTTACCATCAGCAGCAGCAGCAGCAGCAGCAACAGCAGCAGCAGCAGCAGCTGCTGCCTCAGCAGCAATATGATTGGATTGCTGCAGTAAACCCTCAGGCGCCACTCCTCTAAGGCCAGCGAGCAGCAACAGCTGTGCGAGCGCAACTGCATGCAACGGTAGCTGCTGCTGCTGCTGCTGCTGTTGCTGTTGCTGCTGCTGCTGGGTACTTCCTGCAGCAGACTTCATCAGCTGCAGCAGACATAGAGGGCCCCCTTGGGGGCCCCCTAGATCTAGCCAAGAGAGGCCCCTACAATAAGAGCATGTCTTTGCTTCTGTAGGGAGGAAGCAACCATTATCAGCAGCAGCAGCAGCTGCTGCTGCAGCAGCAGGAGGAGCAGGAGCAGCAGCAGGAGATGTGCTGCAGCAGCAACAAAAAGAGACAGTAAATGGTAAAGGAGACAGTAAATTATACTGAGGAGACAAAAAGGAGACACCTAAATTATATAAATTATATTCACGTAAATCGCAGCAACCTCGTAAGCGGAGCCTGCAGCGCCAGCAGCAACTTGCTGCATCTGCTGCTGCTGCTGCTGCTGCTGCTGCTGCTGCTGCGGTGTTGCTTGGTGCTGCTCCAACTGCACAGGGACGTGCTGATGGAGGGTCACATGTTGTAGCTGCAACACCATTTGCTGCTGTTGCTGCTGCTGCTCCTGCAGTGTTTACTGCAGCAGTAGCAGCAGCAGCAGCAGCAGCAGCGTTGTCTTCTCTGCCTCCTTCCATTGCTGCTGCCTGCTGTACTGTTGTCAACCTCGCTGCAGCAACAGCAGCAGCAGCAGCAGCAGCGAAGCTGCTGCTGCTATTGCTGCTGCGTTAGCTCTGGTACTGCTGCTGCTGCTGCAGTCTAAGAAGTAGCGTGCATGCGCCAACAGCAGCAGCAGCAAAGGAGCAGCAAGAAAGGGGGTCCCCTATTAATTAATAATTATAATCAAGGAGGAGTCAGCAGAGAGGGGGGCCCTGGGGGCCCCTCCTTACAAGAAGATCATGGCGAAGGGGCCCTGGGGGCCCCCGAACCTGCTGCTACTGCTGCTACTGCTGCTGCTGCCGTACTACTGCTGCTGCTGCTGCTGCTGCTGCTGCTGACGAGGACAAGGGTGTTAAGTATATAATTTTATTTATTAAGGAATAATATATTATTAATAATTAATTATTATTATTATCTTTCTTATGAACAAAGTTAATAAGGGAATATAGGGCAAGAGGGCCTCCTGCTTCTGCTGCTGCTACTGCTGCTGCTGCTACTGCTACTGCTGCCGCTGCTGCTGCTTAAGGCTGGGGCTGCGGTGTACAGGCAGCTCAGTAAGGCCGTGGGACACGAGAGGGGCGGGGGGGGAGG